CTACAATCAGAAGAACTTGAACTCTACCTGCCTCCCCCAGAAGACACAAGTTTCTGGTAAGAGCAGTTCTATCAGCTGGTCAGTGTCCCCAAATCCAAGCTTGCAGAAAGTGCATAGCAAGTATCTAGGAGGGGAGTGGGGTCCATGTGTTGGCTCATTTAAACAGAGGTCTTTTGGTAAACAGACAAGCTATTTTGTACTCCCTGAGTCAGCTACTTTGAACAGGGGTGCAGTCTGTTAATCTTGAGAAAGTCAAAAAACTTACTAAAGCACCATATGGACTGCAAATTCTCCTTTTAGTCATCCCATAATTCCAGCAATGCTGCTTAAAATGCGGAGATTTCTTGCCACATTTAAAATCTCTGCTAACGAGTTTTTGTTGATGAAGGCATCTGCTGGCTTATTTCTGATAAAAGAGGCAGAACACCTGTTCCTTCTGACCTTGAGTCTACACCCTTGACCAGGGCTAGTAATACGCTATTGACTTTAGTTCATGCTGCCCATAGAGCAAAGCTAAGACTGCAAACAACTGCCAGAATACAGGACAACCCAGTTTGGGACATACAGACCACTAACTCATTAACAGCCTCATTGACTAGGGAATGCATAAATATGGATTCCACTTTGAATGGCCTAAAGAGTCCATTGGAAAACGTATAGTCTATGGTTGGCTCTTTAAGCCAACTCCCCCTAGAAAACGAGAATATGATTCAAACTCAAGATGCTTTTATACTTAACCACAGCTCTGACCAAGATCAAAGAGCTGTAGATCTTCATAGGTGTAGTCAAATAAGCCCAAATGTGCCAGGGCAGCAGCTGAACCCTGAAAGTCCTGGAACAATAATTGGTGCTTTAGAAGAAATCTTTCAGCTTGGCCAAATTCAGTGTTCCTCAGAGCAGATTGGACAGACAGGAATTGCTCACTGCAGTAGTACAGGGGAACATTAGTTATGCTACAACAGCCCCTTCCAGACTCTTCTATCCCCCCAAACATAGAGCAATCTACTTCAGCCAGAAAGTTTACAATGTGTTATGGAAGCAGCTTTTAATCAACCACCAATGAAAGATCCTTCTGCAGTCCCTTTAGATGGATGTCCCAAAGGACAATTAAACTCCTAACACAGAAAATTGCGGGTTTGCTATCTAAGAAAGCAGATGCTTCCTTCAAGTTTTTTCTAATTCAGGACGATATTATCTCCTGACAGGAGACTTGGTGTCAAGAATCACTCCTTATTGGTGGGTTTGTCACAGTCCATCTCCCAGCTGTACCTGGGGAAGGAAAGGGCAGAGCTAAGGGAGGTTTGGCTCTACTTGTGTTTACAAAGCTGCATGTGACAATCATTACACTAGACCCATGTGGTCATTGGACCTAGGCAAGTGTCATTAAATCTGGTCATTATAGCTTTTTAACTGTGAATGTTTCCCTACCTTCCCATGGTACCAGATTAAGGGTACATGAAGTTTGGACAAAGTTTGAGGGATACTTAGATAAGCTTTTGTTCTCTTTATTCTTAATGAAGCAATCTTGGGGGACATTCCTGGAGAGTACACATATTGGTCGGAGTGAGGAGCTAGTATCATCGATTTTGTTCTGACATAATGTAACCAATGCTCCCTCTAAGCTGTGGAGTCTTGTGAGCAAAAATTCTACTTTGTGAGCTACTGGCATTAAAGTTGTGAGCAAGCGATTTGGCTACTGCATAAATTAGGTTGCTTCAGAGCCATCCTTTCTGAGCTAAGACAAAGATCTGTGAGCTGGAGGCTAAAAAACTGTGAGCTAGCTCACACTAACTCAGCTTAGAGGGAACACTGCATGTAACCTGTTGAACTATGAAATGCACTTGGAAGCTGGAGCATGCCAAGATAGCGCTCACCTACCAGTCACCTTCAATGTAAATATTCAGAATCAATTAGCACACACGTCAGAGAAATTTAATGTCCATTTAGATCCCGACTCAAGCTATAGAAGAATTGTATGGATTGGAAAAATAGATCAGCAATGTCAATAATATTTCAGCTCAGATGAAGCACTTCAACTTCGTAATGATGTGACTACTGCTAGCACAGCCAAGATGACTATACAATCTTGTTTATATTTAACTCTTGGGTGGTCAGAACAGCTATCAAAAAGACATCTTTTCATACTACCCTGACATCTACAAAACACTGGTTTGACTTAGAATATCTGACAGCCAGAAACAGTCTAGTAGCCCAATTTCAACAGTACATACTGAGTAATGCTAGCTCAGTGTGGTGTAGTGGTTAAGAGCGTTGGATTCTAATCTGGAGAACCGAGTTTGATTCCTCACTTCTTCACATGAAGCCAGCTGGGTGACCTTGGGTCAGTCACAGTTCTCTCAGAGCTCTCTCAGCTCCACCTACCTCTGTTGTGGGGAGAGGAAGGGAAAGCAATTGTAAGCCACTTTGAGACTCCTTCAGGTAGAGAAAAGGGTGTAAAAACCAACTCTTCTTCTAAATTCCTCCAGCATTGAGAACTGAAAAGGAGCAATAGAAAAAAGAAACTAATACAACTGAGCCTCAATCAAGGGAATCCTATTTTATCTTGTTTTCAAAAATACTAAACCTTGATTAAATCAAACATGGACTGAGCAGTCAACCCAAAACAGAAGACAAAACAAATATTTTTTGCCTAATTGGTCCAGGAGAGACCTGGACTGCAGTGCAGTTGAGTCATTCGCTGGCCAGAACTTTGAGAAATGTTTGCTGTTCACTGAAGTTTTTATTAAGCCTGAAGCTTGATTGTAGGAGCAGGAGGCTGTCTGATCTCTTGCACTCCAGCAGCTACTTCTTCAGACAGAGGGTATGTGTGACCTATGTAGTAAAATTATAGGTGAGTTTTCTCTCATGAATAACAGCCTTACCTGAAGCTATGTAGCATGATTTCTTTCTGTCATACAGTCACAGGCATGAAAGGTGTATTTCACACGCTGAGCTCCCTTTCTTTACTTTCCAGGGAACTGGATGGTAGTCTATTCAGAGGTTCCACACGTGCTACAACGCATACACTGTTACTGTGGACGCTGGGGGTCCTTCAGGAATTGGTTCATAACTGAATTGGTTCATTTGTAATTCCATCATACATTGTTTCTTTCTACTCCTTTGTTGGGGGGAGGTGTTCTCAGACACTTCGGTTTACCCTTTTTTGGTTGGGTATTTTTTCCCTTTTTTGGTGCAGCATCTCCTAGTGACAGCCTCCACTAACTTTCGCACTTCATATATATTTTAACAGATAGCTTAAAAGTGGCAAAATTAAATTGTACAAAACACCGATCAGGTTAGTTTATCACAGCTCCACCCCCCTCTTCTGTAAACCTTAGAACAAACAACAGTGGACATGAACGGTGTTTAAAAAAATGTTCATTTTCCAATTTAACAATCCAAGGTAAAAGAAGAGAAGTCTGGCTATAATACTTGACAAGATAGACATCAACATTTATGGAAAACAACACATTGAATGATACGAAAAATACAATGATTTACTACTGAAAATATTGCACAACTTTGTATTATTCTCTCAGATTTACTTCCTGTAATTAAGAACAGATAAATTCAGGGGGAAAGAAGCCGGAAAAGTAACCTAAATTAGCCTGACATTATATGTCTCCTATAATCAGCGCTCCTATAATCTGTACTCCATTTATTCTGCAATGATGTGTGACTTCAGCAGAACTGATATGGAGTACGTAGTTTGTGCAGTATCTTGTGATCTTTTGCAGGTATGTGGGTTGATGCACACATAGAGCACCTCTCCATTGATTTAATTTATGGGGCAACACTAAGTACTGCAGTCTGCCCTAGCCATCAAAATGAAAGGGGAAGTCCACATATGTATTACCGAAATACTGGAATGAAACATTTGAAAATCACCTGAAGCGCTTTGTGTAGCATCTTCTGTAGGGACAATAAATAATCCATTATGTAGATTTTCCCCCTTCTACCACCCATTCTTGTAGGAATTATTTATGACATGTAATTGTTCTATAGTGTATGGATACAGCCTTGAATAGAGTTCTTTTGCTTTAAGTATATGACCCTAACAACCTGTATTTGAACAATTAAGATGCTCTTTGATTCTTGCTGATAACTGGAGACTGCATCTCATGCTAAATGGAAAGACTTTTCAGTGTATTGGCTTTAAGTTAAATGTACAAAAGTCACATTAAAGAACATTTAAGAGGACAAAAATCCACCTGCTACATGGATTAAAATAATACAACACTGTTTGAAGACTGTCTCTACAAAGTATATACCTTTTCACTTAAGAAATGTAGATACCTGTAACAGTCCTTACCAACTGTCAATCTCTCACTTGATCACATCTCTGTGATTCTGGGCCAAATACAAACTTTGCACAAAAGAGACAGATTACTTCATATCTGCCAGGCAGACTACTACGCCAGTCAGCAGAATATAAAAGATACATTTAATACAGATACTAAGACAGAGTATAATATTAGGAACCTAAGCACTACAAGAATGAGAGATGCAGTATCCTTTTTATATGGTCCAAGACATCCCTTCTTGAAGGAAGGAAAGAAGTTGAAACAGATGTGGTTCTTGGTGACTGTGGTAAACTTGATCTTGTCTTCCTTTTTTCTATGCTCCATTTTAACTTGGCAGACAAAATATCAGTATTTGAATTTTGCAGTCAGAAAGGAAGCAATGAAAGAAAAACTAGAAAGGTAAACACTGGTTTGTTTGATTTTCTTTAACATCCTCACATTAAAATGTCACATAGAAAAGAGAGTGCATCTCAGATTTGCTTACAAGCTAGGAGATCTTTTTGAAGTCCACATAATCCTAACTGCAAACAAAATATAGCACTTTTATAATATATTATAAATAAACTGGTTTTCAAGCATAGAGCCAGCCCCAAAATAAGAATACACTATTTTAAAAAGACCTAAGGCAAAATGGATTCCATTTCCAATGGATAAAAAAAGAACTGTGCAAACAAGCTTAAAACTATTTTTGTGCCAGTGTTATAAAATGTAGCCTGTTATTTAAAATAGAGCATTGACCCAAATACCAGGAACTTGTGAAGCTATCTGAACAAAAAACTGTTATTTCCTTTAAGTGGAGGAATACTCTGGCCTCTCTTTCTCTATGATCTTTCTGTCACATGTGCTCCTACACACGCTCCCTTTCTCATTCACACCAGTGTTCTTGTCATTCCTTTCAGTGATGCCTGAGCAGGAAAATTTCTCAGAGGAATGAGTTCATACAACTGAATCTTTTAACATCTGCTGTTACTCTTCACACAGTTCCTGTGGATGGGTTTGCTAACTAGCCTTTCTTAAGAAACAACTATTTTAAGCACTGGATCAAGACTTTACATAAAAATAATTTCCTACTTTTTCTGTATTTTCTAAAACTTGTTTTTTCCCCTTCCCCTTTCAATACCTGCAGCTTTCTTTTAAAGTGTTAGGAACTGAGCTTTTTTTGTGCATGATCTTGTGTTCTTTGGGTAGAATGACAAAGGATCAAACCCATTAAAGTAGATGGTATTCTTGACAGATCAGGAGAGAGACTCTGGCTCAGTTAGTCTCGTAGGATGACAACAGTGCTGCATCCACTGGCTCCATGCAGGAAGGACATGTGAATGATCTCATCAGCCAGTCATCTATACAGTCCAGGTGATAAATATGCATGCATGGCAGGAATCTGATAGGGTCCCCGTAAACAAAGTCCATCATACAGATCACACATCTGGAAAAGGAAAAGAAAACAGAGAGAAACTGAATTGGGTTACCATTTTATGTAGTATGGCTGGCATGACTGAAAGAGGACAGATCTGCTAGTTGCTGAACTCAATTGTTTATACCATATGGCTTGGCAAAAGCTTGTAATTGATAAAATTTTCAGACTGATGGGAAACTTTTTCATGGAGACTAGAATGCAAATGTATCACATAATTTATTAATACCATCTGCACAGTAATTTATTGATGACAGAAGCTGCCTAATTCTGTGTTTAAGCTGGAGACTGCCATTTGCTGTCACTGCAAGGAAGGTTGAGCATCCCTTGGTTTTAATATTTGAATTTTTTTATTGATTATTGTGTTGGTTTTTGCAGCTCCACCTCTTTTTGAAAAAATATTTTTATATTTTAAGACATAAATTTATAAGCTGCTCTGAGCTCTTTAGGGAAACAGGGCATTCATCAAATAACACAATAATTCCATGTTTGAACATTTTAAAAAGTCAACTTCCCACTTCTGACTTTGCAAATCTAATCTAAAAACTAGAAACATGCCTCCTGGCTAGCAACTAAGTTTGTAGCTCATGATCATGACCTTTCCTTTGCAATGACCCAGCCATTTTTTAATATGAGTCTCTAGGGAGCAGCTTGTACTGTCACATACCAATATCCCAATACAGAATTTGGTGTTATTTTTATGAACTTGACCAAATTCCATCTATAAGCACCATACCGTTGGCCTCTCTTACTTGTTGATGCATTTGCCTGAAGGTGATGCAATGGAAATTATATCCAATTATATGCAGGACTGTGCTATACAGGTGTGAAGGAAGCTTGTGGAGGGAAAAGGCTTACTACCGCTTGATTTTTATCAGTAGCAAGAGGGAGGTCTTTTTGGAAACAAATCTACTACATTCATTACCTCCCTTGTGACATAGCCTTCCCTATAGATGTGCTGTTGTAGGTCAGCAGGCAATGGTAGCAGAACATTTACTGGAATGGTTTGGAGAGGTGTGTTGTGTTACATATAATATACTCCAGAATATTATCTACCCAGTAATGAAAACAGTCTGGCAATTCTTTTCCAATTATGTTTTCTTTCCTCCCTCTATTTTAAAGCCTTTCCAGGGCTGACAGCAGTTACGGTCCACATGGGGGCAATTAGGTTCTTTAGAAATGCTGAGCAGGCAAAGCTGAAGAAACCACAGTTACTTTCATTCCTTCTTCCTGCATGAAGCAAACCTGAGAATTATTTCTACACGTTAATCCTACAACAGAAAAAAATTCCTTTATTCAGATTATGTCTACAAAGCAGTGCAATAGCCTATTCTACATACTTTCTTTTTGTAAAGAATGACAGGTGGAGAATGGAAGAATAGTGGCACTGAGAATAATGGATTTTAAAATTATAATAATCAGGGCTTTTTTTTTTTTAGAAAAAGACCAGCAGGAACCCATTAGCATAATAGGCCACACCCAACAGCAGACGCTCATTAGCATATTAGGCCACACCCCCATGCCTTCCCTTGGCTTCCCCGGGCACCCCGCGGCTTCGGGGAGCCCAGGCTAGCCAGCCCTTGGACAGGCCAGGGAAGTCACGGGGAGGCATTTAAATGCCTCCCCGATCTTTCCAGGCCCCCCCGCCTCGGGGTCGCTATCCAGGCCTTCCCTCTGTAGCCACGCACACAGAGGTTTTGGCTGTACTGGGCGTGCCCAGCTCTGAAGCCAGCCGGAATTCCATTCCTGTGCGTTCCTGCCCAAAAATAGCCCTGATAATAATGCTGATTTTATTGTACATTAATTGTTGGAAGCCACCCTGAGCCATGTTTGCGGGGAAAGGAGCGGGATATAAGTCGAGTAAATAAATAAAAAATAGTTATCACTTATTAAAAGATGTGGCATTCAAAGAAAACCTTTGGAGAGGATAATGTTTGTGCAAAACAAGGCTTCCAATCTCTGCTTAAGTTAAATAAAACAGGTGTAACTTGGGAATAATGCTGTCAGGGCTGGATCGCAGCACTGAGAAGCTCTTGCGCCACCTGCTGGGAAGGGCATCAAGCTTTCCTAGTCCTCAACTACTGCTCAGCAATGGGTGGCAGCCAAGCACTACCAGCCACAACATGTTCACTGCCGTGTGAAGTTTACGCATTCTTATGGATCAGTTTTCCCCAGAGAAAATGAAACATAAGGATCCTGTTGTAGGAATATGAAAATGTTGTGGACTGCACCTAAAAAGCATTTTACTAAATGCATGGGCCATAATGAAAAAGAAATAGGCTGTAGGCTGCAAAAACTGATCTACAATGAAAAATGTTTACATTGCAATCCTAACCTTATCTCTGAATGGCTTAGGCTATGTGAGGTTTTATTCTGCCTCTCTCTTCTGATTTGCTGCTGGTCAAAAGGTGAGCTCTGCACTCCTGCCAGCATCCTTCTTGATCAGATTCAAACCCTTGCCTCCAGTTTTCCCACTGAGCTACTGCGGAGGAATACTTTCTGTGAATGTGCAGTTGAGTGTCCCCTTGTTCCTGCCCTAGAGCTTGCATTCCTCTTACTTGGTGAAAAACTGGTGCACATTAGCCCCTTCCAAGACCTGTGCACTTTGGCCCAGGGGAAATAATGGCTCCTGGAAACATTTCAGGTCAGGAAAACAGCACAGAAGGAAGGCTAAAAACCCCTTCTCCCTCCTGTGTGGTAGCTGCCATCTGATTTGGGGAAATGAGAGTCAGCTTGGGAGAACCACTGTCCAGTCATTAAAAACACAACATCCAGTTTGGTTCTAAGACATGGATTATAGTTACAGTCAGGGGTCGGTTCGAGTGGGAGCGCACAGGAGCGGCACTCCGGGAGTGAGGAGTCCGGGGGCGGGCACATGACCAAGCCCCGCCCCCTGCTCCCAGCAGCCATCGCAGGGCTCCCAGCAGGGCTGGCAACCAAGAGGCCGTCTTCATCGTCGGGGTGCTGCTGCAGACTGCTGTCTCTGGCGGCCGGGGTCCCGCCTGCCTGCTGCTGGAGGAAAGTGGCAGGGAGCTGCCACCACGCTGGAGAGAGGGACCCCATTTGTGGCCGGGGAGGTGCTTCCTTTGTGAGTCACTTGCGGCGTGCAGCCACTTCCTCAGAAAAGGTGCGGTGGCGGCCAAAGGTGTCCTTCCTCTTGCCTTCATGCCTCTTCCCCCCCCCGTTTCTCGCCTTCCTCCGCTTTGCACTCCTCTGTCCACTCCCCTTTCCCCGCTCCTAAGCCACCCCCCCACGCATCGAAGAAAGGCGGGAGGAGGAGCCACTCTCTTGGCCGACTTCTCTCTCGACGTCCTCCACCCTTGTGCCTCGTCCCAACCAAGGCTTATTCAGGTAGAATCTTTCCCTCCTCTGTGAGGGCAGATCTGTGTGTTCCCCAGCCCCCCACATAGATACCAACCCAAAGGAGTCCAGTGGCACCTTTAAGACCAAGGCTTATTCACACAAATGCCCCGCCATGTTTGCAGCTTCCCGCCTCGCTCAGCTCCTTCCTCAGAGGGAGCACACACCCCCACTGTAACGCCAACGCGACCGCCTCACAGCACCAAACAAGTACGGGGTCTGCACCCCCAGCGATGCGCAGTTCTTCCTTCTCTAAGGGCAGGCCTCATTTCCTGCAGGAGTGTGCCTGAGTGATGCTCCTGCAGTAAGAAGGCCAGGGGGTGGGCACATGCAGCAAGCCCCGCCCCCTTCGTCCGGGACGAAGGAGACCAAAAGGATCCGGCTAGAGATGACAAGCCGAGGTAGGCTTCCAGACGCGGCGCTGGATGACCACTTCCACTCCAGCCCTCGAGTCCTTCTGCCTCGCCAGCTCTCCAACGCGCATCCTTTCCCCGCAGAGTCCCCCAAAGAAGCCTGAGAAACAGATCCTGAAGGTGGCGAGGCGAGGCAGCAGTCAGAGTCAAATAAAGTTCTGGGTGTCCCTAGATCCCCTCTGCAAAAGCCGCTTCTTTGGCCAAAGCACTGGAGCTCCGCCCGCTTCTGCCCACCTGCCCTGGACAGTCTGAAGAGTTTTTTGCCCAAGGAAGGCTCTCTGGCAGTCGCGGATGCGCTCCTCTGCCTGCCTGCGGTCCACGAACCAACAGGAGCGCAGAGGAATAATCACACACCCGGCGACCCTTGGGGGGGGTGAAGGGGGTTTGGCAAACTCGACGAAGACGCGAGGATAGTGGGAGTTTGGGGCTCCTTTGTCCCAGCCGCACAAGCATGGGCTGCTCTACATGGGCCAGGTGAGGGGGGGGTCTGAGGAGAGCTTCACCGGTTCAATATCTGCCTGTCATGGCATGCGCTGTAAAAGTTTACCTAATTATGCAATGATCCCCTTATTCCAGGAAGCCTGCCTAGGGGAATGGTGAGCATCTCTCCACACTACAGTTCCCAGCATTCTTTGAGAGAAGCTATACCATAGGTTTAAATCCATTCTGATTTTGTAGCCCAAGCAGTAGTTTAAGTAACAGGAAGTGTGCAAGCTGGTAGAGACCAAGTTTCATTTTTAGGGTGACATGGATAGTTTGTCATAGAATTGGATTGTAGAGTATCTTTGCCTGTGGTACACAATTCATATATCTTGGTTCACTGTGGTCAGGGTCAGCCTGGCTTTATAGGCTTCTGTTGTGGTTCAAGCTGTTCCAAAATTGCCTTCTAGTAATGCACACCTTCCATTGCTGGAATAGGGATTTTTGTGACCCATACGGACAATTCTTGGATAGCAGTGGTCATGAGAAAAATACACACTCCTGAATGCCTGAAACAATATTTATTTGTTTGTTTCATTTATGCCCTGCCTTTCTCCCCAATGGGGACCCAGAGCAGTTTACACCATTCTCCTCTCCTTTCTGTCCTCACAGCAACCCTGTGAGGTAGGTTAGCTGAGAGAATGAATGGCCAGAGGTCATCCAGTGAGCTTCCGCAGCACGAGTTGGAATTCAGACGTGAGTCTTCCAGATACTAGTCTGACATTCAGGCGTGGCGCTCACTTGGCCTCACTGGCCACTGAGCCAAGGGATGCACAAAGCAGCATTTTCCATAGAAAACTACAACTCCCCTCGAAGCTCTGTGATTATTTGTCACCCATCCACGCTTTAAGCCCGTGCATGGGCCAATGGGATTCGTAGTTCCCATTTCTCCTCTTTAGCTTCTGGTTGCTATGGCTACCCATGAGGTTCCGAACATGTGGAAAGACTGAAAAGCCCCTTTTAGGTGTCAGGTGAGGGTGGGAGTGAGGAGGAAAGTTTTTCTCTGAGATAAAAGAAAAGTTTTTCTTTAAGAAAATGTGGTGGGGGGGGGCTGGCACCTGCTGCACATACAGCTGGGGGGTGTTGCCTTTGGGTAAAGATGTGGTTCAGAGCTTCTGAACCTGAGCATGTGTGGAGTGTCTCACCTGAAAACAAGGGTTGTATTTGAAAATAATAGGCAATATACTTTTTAGTATTTATGGCATCACAAAATGGGTTTTGTTTGTTTTAGAGCTCATGAGTAAAAGGTCTTTGAACATATGTGGAATAACCTTCACTGAGCTGGAGGAAAAAAGTATGTTATTTTTTAAAAAACCACACACTGTGGTTAAAGGGTCTCTAAGCATTTGGCAGTATGTGTTCCCTGAGCTGGACAAAGGTATATGTGTTTTAAAAGGCCATAGCCAGGCCTCTGAGCATGTGCAGAGTGTAGTTCCCTGAGCTGGACAAAGTGTCTGTATAAAAAGCCTTTTGGCCAGCTTCCTCTGAGCCATTCCATGGAGCTGCCAGGCAGTGTTCTCTCTAAGCAGAGTTAGTGTGAACTAGCTCACAGTTTTTCAGCCTAAGGCTCACACATTTTTGTCTTCGCTCAGGAAGGATGGCTCCAGAGCAAACTAATTTATGCAGTAGCCAAATTGCTTGCTCACAACTTTAATGCCAGTAGCTTACAAAGTAGAATTTTTGCTTACAAGACTCCACAGCTTAGAGGGAGCTGCCAGCCAGGTAACAACTTGTAGAAATTATTATTATGTAGCGCAGTCACTGGGCATGGCACAGAGTAGCTATCAAAAATGCAGGTCCCTGCCCTGAGCTGCTTACCAACTAGAATTCAACCCAGGGGAAGACTACAGAGGGCTAGGAGAAAGTTGCAGACATTTCAGTTCAGACCTGTGTGTGTTACATGTAGGACCTTTGAACATGTGCAAGGGGCCTTCTCTGAGTGGTACTTTCTTTTCTCTGAGTTTTTTGGCGTGGAGCCTGAGCGGTGGGTGTTGCCTTCTGACACACTTCCGGTGATCTCAGTGTTGGTGTATATGCTTCAGCATAATGATCATAAGAATCTACCTGACAGCTGACAGCTGCACTGAGTTGGATTCAGCCGGTTTGGACTTGGCAGAGGCAAGCCAAGTCACCATGAGTCAGCACTGATCTGATTGGCTGACCAATGTATATATGTGATTGTGTATCTCTGTATGGTGGATGGTGTCTGGTGGAGCAGTTTGATGGAGAGCTGTATATTCTGTAAATAAATTCCTGTATATAGTAACTACTGGACTGTCTCAGTGTGGTTGACTATTGGAAAGCCTCTGGTGAGTGGAAAGACTGCTGGTGAGTGCAAGTGTGACTGAGGTGCTGGTTCAACTTTCCAAACGCGCTGCGCGACAGTCAGGGGGTGTGGCATATGCAAATAAGTTATGCTAATGAGTTATGCTAATGAGCTCCTGCACCTCTTTTTCTCCGAAATGACCCCTGGTTACAGTGGCCTGTATCCTACTCAGCAAAGTTTAAAGCCTTCCTCAAGCTGAAGAAATCTTTGTTCACCTTCAGTGGCTCTTCTGTTGGAAGCCTGGAAGACTTCAAAATTTGCTTAACATAGTTGTAAGATACAAGCCAATGTCAGGCAAAGGAGGGCAACAAGGTTTTTGGTCACACAAAGGAATCTGAAGGAGGAATCTGAAGGAGATTTCCAAGTGCAAGGAACCATCTGGTAAGGAAAAATTACATGAAAAGAAGGGACTGAATCACAGTAGAAAACACAGAAATTAGTTGAATGTTCACATGGTTTTGGAGAAAGGCCCAAGACCCCCCTTCTCAGAAATGGCTTTTTGTTCAGCAAATTGCATAGGGGTTCAAGGTATGTCAATATGATAAAATGCGCTTATTATTTTTCTTTCTCCTCTTTATGGGATAACTACAAATTTTTAAAAACTCTTTGCATTAAAAGTGGCATTTTTGCAACTTACTCTCTGATCTTTTTCTCAGAGCCATCTCTACCAGGATCATAGACTCCTTTCGGCAGGTGTTGTATAAGGCCTATCCGTTGCGCTATCCTAATTTGTTCCTCTTCTGTAAGCTGTGTTGCTAGGCGGGTCTGGCTAGGAGTTGGATGGTAAACTGGAACTGGAACCTGTTCCTAAAATTAAAAGGAATTTTGGAGGGGGAAGGAAGAAAGGAAAAACAAGTAAGTTTGCTTTGCCAATTTAATTTCATTACTGAAATGGATCAGGCAGTGTGTGGAATTTACTATTTACTCTTATTTCTGTTTTTGATGGGGAATTAGTTGTGCCATGCTTCTTCATGCCCAGTTTTATGGCTTAATTATAAAGAAGAGAATAAACAGTGATGCCAACTTTGCTGGAAAGCTGGCACGAATCTGTTTTAGCCTGTTCTCTGCAAAGACCATTTAATTTTGTCTCTGGGAGTTCTTCATGGATTAGTTAAACAGACGTACAATCTCAACATGAGAGTTGGCAAATTAAGCTTGCAGGGTTTGGCTAATTGATGGACTTCTTGCCTGCCAAGACAGAGGAGCTGACAATTTTTTTAAAAAAGTCTTAACAGTTTACAAAGTATCATTTGTGCAAATGGGGACCAAGTTAGAAACTTTTAACATTAAGACAGGATGTATTGTAGACAACATTTATTCAAGGAGTCCTCCTGTTGTTTAAGTACTAACGTAGAGTTTCACTGTCATTTCATATAAATAAAATGGACTGGATAACAGACCAACCAAATATTTGCATTTTTAGAGTTTTTGCAGTACAACTTCTGGCAATCCTTCTGAGTTCTAAAGAGTTTGAAAGTTATATGCATAAACAACTACAAATATAAAACATTTTCACAGAAGAAATACACCCCCTTTATAAAACTCTTGGGGTTGGATCCAAACTTTGTTTTACTTTGGCATAAGGTATTTCCTACCACCAGAAGAGGGTGGGCTATCACTGTCCCCCCATCCCCCCTATCTATGGCAGGGCTCTCACTTTGTCCCCATTCCAAAGGAACATTTTAAGGAGGTCTGCCAGCTGCAGTAGAGTGGGGGAGATGGGAAAGTTCTGTTAGCAGAGTTTCAGTAATGGTACTTTGGGTCCAATCCAAAAGCCATGAGACTAGGAATTAAATTAGAGTTTAGATCTTCTGTTTATTTAGATTCACTAAACAATATTATGAAAATTTAAATTCCACATTCATGTATTCATATTGATGTTGGACAACATTCTTATAACAGCAGTGTGTTAAAAATATCCTCCTTCATGAATGGTGCATGTACCCCTTATGTCACATGCAACGTTTTGGCAAATTTCCTTGTTTCTGGCCAATGGTACATTTACTATCACAGCAATAAAGTTCTACCCATTTTTAGGGTCAAGTAACACATGTGTTGCCACAACTTGGGGAGGCTGAAAGATGTCATAGGCAATTAATATTTTTCTTTTCTTTGGGCAAAATGACTGAATCATTAGGACTGTGTGTGTTGTTTTTTTCATTCCCAAACCACTGTGTGCATACCAAGCAGACAGAAGATCTTCAGTTCATCACTAATATTTCTTACAGAATTTTAATGCATTGCATAAATAGTGCCTACACACACAACTGATATAAGCGTCTACATAGAACAGTCAATTTCTTTGCATAATTCCTGTAAAAGAAATTCTGCTGGAATAGTAGCCATTTTTTCCTCGACTAAAAAGAATCTGAGAAAGCTGATACAGGAATAATCTAGAAGCTTCATCTGTGCATATTTGTTTCCAGTGTACAGATTTTTTGGTTAGCATGCTGTAATATAAATATCCCAAGCAAACAATCTTGTATTGGGAAAATCATTCCATTGGTTTATAGCTCTTTCTTCAAAATTCAATAATGACAAGCATGTTTATGCCAGGTTAAACACATAAATCTGCCCTATAATCCCCAAATGGGTAGGAAACCTCCCTTACAAATGCAAATGCTCATTTTTGTTGCAGTCTTACTCAGGAGTTGGAATTCAGTGTATGCCTGATCTACTTAGTTATTACCTTCGGTCTCATTTAACCTTTTTCTTGTGTTAGACTAGCAGAAAACAACAGAAATATCTGGAAAATTAAATTTCAGTATATATTTTATTTCAATCAAAAGAGATTACATATAAATATACCATTAAATCCTCCACAGACTTTTGGCCCTGTGTATATTAGTTCTTGTTCTGTCGATATGGCACATTGTGCTAGTTCATATTATTGCAAACTGATAACGCTGGTCTCATACCTATAGAGGCCTACCTTCTTGAGTAAGAATTCCACTGCTGATCTTACCTAATGTAAAAAAGACTTAGGTTTACTATATCCATGGTATCTGGTGAAAAAGAGTGAACTTTGTAACATTCTTCTCTCTCACATTCCTTACCCCTCTCTGCTGTTTCATATTATTTGCCTCTCCCATTCTCTCCCAGGTCTCTTCCAACCCTGTAAACTTATCAGGGATGGGATCTTTCTTTTGTTCTATTCTGTAAAGAGATTTACACTAATGATGTTATTTATATAACAACTAAATAGCTACTACCTCTGTTTAACAGATACTGGTCTAATAAGACATGTAACAGGGGCCTGTATTGCCCCCTTCCTAACCATCTGTTGAATAGAAATCTTTTGACAGATGAGTTGCCTTAGGGCTGTGTACATAGAACATTTCTCAGTGCTTCCATGGAAGTATGTAAATATTCTCTGCTGGAATAAAACTAGGCAGTAGAGGAAAACTCATGGAGCATTCATTTCCCCATAATGGACTGTGTGTCTGGAGGTACTGCTGTAGATTGTTTAACCCACTCCAATAATTGCTATAGGTTTGGAGCAGTGTTGCCACTGTAGGACCTCCATGTAGCTTATGTACATGAGAGATAAGGAATGGATTCCCACCAGGCCCTCCTGCTGCTTAAGTCCCTTAGGTCAGAAGAAGGGTTGTCAACTGTGGGCTAGGAAATCCCGGGAGATTTTGGGGATGGAACCTAGGAAGGACAGGGTTTGGGGGCGGGACCTCAGTGGGGTATAATGACAGAGTCCACCCTCCAAAGTAGCCATTTTCTCCATGGTAATTGATCTCTGTCATCTGGAGATAAGTTATAATTCTGGGAAACTTCCAGGCCCCACCTGGAGTTTGGCAACCCTAGTCAGAAGACAAAGAAGAGTGGCTTGGACTTAATGTAGTCCAGCATTGTAATAATGCTCTGAGGCACTTAACACTTTCTATTTTTGCCACTTGGTATCTGGCAAAATTGCCCCCCTTGAAGGTTGATCTATACCCTTCTCTTAGCCCATTGCCTGAGTCTTCAGCATTAGTATTAAAATACCTCTTTAGGAAGTCTCCTATCATCCTTCAGAGGCCCATTCCATAGACTGGGAGTCATAATGGAAAAGTCCTGGGCTCTGGTCAATGCCAGATGGTCCCCCCTAATTGAGCAACAGCCAGCATGTGGCAGCCTGAAGTCCATCATTGGTGTACAGAAACATATGGGAGAAGACAGTCCTTTAGATATGTGGGCCCCAGGCCATGAAGGGCTTTGGAGATCATAACCAGAACCGTGAATTGAACTCAGAAACAAGGTGACACTCAAGGTAGCTGCTTTAAAGAGAGCAAAATATGTTCCCATTGGCTAGTCACTGACAATAATCGGGCTGTCATATTCTGGATCAACTGCACTTTTTGGATTGTATTCTAAGGCAGCCCAACATAAGAGTGAATTACAACAATCCAGCTGTGAGGTTACAAAAGCATGGATAGATGTGGCTAATGGGCTGAATCTAAGAAAGAAGAATGCTGGTGAATCAGATGCAGCAGACAGAAGGTGCTCTTGGCTACTGCAACATCTTCGTTTCAAACAGGAAGGGTGGTTCCATGAGCACCATCAAGCTCTCAACATGCCCTGCAAAAGCCAACTCCACTCCATTAAAGACAAGCAGACCCAGTCCCTCTAAAACATCAGCCTTTACTGTATGAGCATTTGTGGTCAACATCTCCATACATCTGGGCATTTCTCAACACAAAACAAGGTTCTTTTGCAATACACGCCTGTATACGCATCATTACTGTCATATTTTATTATAGTACAAAGGCTGAAGTTTATGCTTAAGTCCATCTGTTTCAGTGTTATTATGGGTGCTTAACTCTGTTTTAGACTGTATCTAAAGGGTTTTTAAAAATTCTAATGACACCCCCCCAAAAAAAACCCCACAATGCTGCAATTCTGAACTCATTTGGAAGTTCCTTTTAAAATAATAAAATGGAACTCTTCTAAATAAATACTAAACGGCTACTCCTTGTGTTAGAGTCAGATTGTCAGATGGAATATTTTCATGAATATTAATTTATTTAATGTAAAATGCAAAAATTACCAAAAAGAAGTCTACCAAAGTCTCTTAAATTATATATCCAATACGCCTATATAGAAAATATGACAAATGTTCATAAGATAACCTCCAGTTGTGTTTAACTTTTTTTCTAAAATAGGAACAAATGGACATATGATAAGGGTCAAGCAATGAAAATGAAGACTTCCTTATCCTCCTCTTATCCATGTCTTTCAGTCTGACCAAGGCCAGAGGTGTTGCTTTCTGGTTGGATGGTTAGTGTGCACACCTTCTTATAGATATCTGAACAACTGAATATTTTTCACTTCCTGACTTCAGTCTCGTAAGAAACCAAGCCTAAGAAACAATGATATTCACTAATAAGAGCCAAGCAATCATGTAGAAAGCAGGGAGTGGAGGTGGTTAAAACCATAAAAAAGGTGTGCAGGTAAGGGGGGGGGGGCTGAACCTCTTCCCCCGGCCTCCATAATCTTATCCAATTGCAATGTGTTGCACAAGATACATTTCTCTAGGCTGGTCTTTCTGGTTCTGGGGGAGAAAGGACTGTGTTCAGACTCTCATACTCACATGCTCCTTTTGCTCTGTAAATCCCACCAAGCTTTCTATGTGATTGTGGCAGGTCACTGTATAGTTTGGCTTGGAAGGCTCTCCATCAAAGGTGTGTGTTTAGAAAAAATATAGCCCAATTATCGTGTAGTTAATTATATCAATAAATGTAATAATAAAGAAAAAGATTTAAATTTTCTGTATTAACACAGAAGAGAAACAAAAGATCAAAAGAACAAAGAACAAT